TTTTTTCACATATCACCAGTGAGTGTCGAGCGCTATTTTAATTTGCCCACCCGCCACCCTGCCTGACTGCCTGTTTTAGCTCATAAAAATTCATACAAATTACCAGGCCAGAATATAATTTACATTGCTGGAATCCTTATAATTTGGTGATCATTTTGAATATAAACATCATATATTTTGCTTTAAACTTACAATTTTTAGATAAAAATTTTTCTCTAGGTAACTATGGTATCTTTTGTCCAAAATATATGACATTTATATTCAAAATATTCCTGGTCTTACAAGGAATCCAGCAATGTCAATTATATTATCCTAACTTTAGTTTGAGGTATTATTTATTAAAATTTAGTGGTTATCCCACACATCTCCTTGGGACAGTTGGTGGGGGGTTGGGGGGAGGGAGGGACCGACAGACCATCTGTTACCCCGTGAAGAATTATTTTTTTTTTTATTAACTGAAGATATTTGTTTTAGCTCATAAAATTCATACAAATTACCCGGTCAGAATATAATTTACATTGCTGGAATTCTTATAATTTGGTGATCATTTTTAATATAAACATCATATATTTTGCTTTAAACTTACAATTTTTAGATAAAAATTTTTCTCTAGGTAACTATGTTATCTTTTGTGCAAAATATATGACATTTATATTCAAAATATTCCTGGTCTTACAAGGAATCCAGCAATGTCAATTATATTTTCCTAACTTTAGTTTGAGGTTATCCCACACATCTCCTTGGGAAGGTTGGTGGGGGGTGGGGGAGGAGGGACCGACCGACCATCTGTTAGCCGGCTGTGTAGTGTGAGAGGGGGAGGGAGTCGAGTCCATTATTTGAATGGACATTAACTTGGCGACTGTATTTCTCTATTTCTCTTAAGTATTAATTGTGTGCATGTACCATCATAAAATTAAGATGTTATTTTTACTACAACATAGGTATGTGCCTTCCAAAAGTGGAGTTTGGGGGTCGGGCCGGTTTCTATTGGAATTAATCCCATATGTTCTGTTGTTCACTTAACGCGGATTTCACTTAACGCGGGACCCTCTGGGTTCAATTGAAGCGCGTTAAGTGAGGTACTAACTGTAGTTACTTTTTATATATATTTAACTGACTCCAGATATTGCATGGCCAAGAGCATAATGTTAAATGGTTCTTGATAATAGATGTGATACTAGGATTACAGTAGACCCTCAATATAAAAAGTGATTCAATAAAGTATGTATACTGCTCATTTTTGTTACTGTGCAGTAAAATATTATTATTCAGCATTTGCTTAAAAGCCCAGAGCTCCAGCTGTGAAAAATAAATAAAATAAAATGAAAATATATGAAAAATATCAGAATACTTAAACATTGAGGTTCACTTTGAATGGCTTTTGATTAAAGAAAAAGAAAAGCCATATGCATGGAACCCATAATAATAAATACCATTGCTTGGGCAAGAAGTCATTCTCACCTTGTTCCCTTTGTCTATGTACATACCGTATATACTCGTCTATAACCCCCCTTCGTATATAGGTCGACCCCGATTTTATGACCAAGAAATCGTTAATTTATGATATTCCTCGTTTATAGGTCGACCCAAGTTTTTGAGGGTAAAGGAACAACAAAACCTTCAGAGAAACACTACGTCCTATAAACTTGTTTACCATTTATTATCACGACACTGTACACTGAAACGCGGGTAGTTTCAACAAAAATATTGTATATTTCCATTCAAGTATTTATTCAAGTCAATTAGGAGGGAATATTATTGTAATACAACAGTTTTTAACTAAACCATTCGAAAAGCGATTACTGTAACATCTTTTGAACGAAAGAAAGCGAAAGTCATTGTTTTCGTCACGATTTTATCCCACTTTCCACTGTAATACGTACGTAATTTCAGCAAAAATATTACATTTCCGTGAATGTGTTATATCAAGCACAGTATGAATAGAATATCATTGTAATATAACAGAATTTTAACCGAAAACTATTAAAAAAACGAGTAACATCTCAAGAACATCGGAAGCTTAGGTAAAGTCTTTTGTTTTCATCGTGTATTTAATCCTATTTTACATTGAAATACATCACCTTTCAGCAAAACTACTATTTATTTCCGAGAATATATTCATTCAGGCGCAGTTTAGGTAAAATATACGTGTGATGTAATAGTTTTTTAACTGAAAACGATTCGAAAAACACGTGTACCCTCTAGCCCTGTTCAAGGATAGGACTGGGAGAAGCTGTTTGGTGCTGCAGACGATGACAAAGAAAATGATTTTGATGGATTTTAATGAAAATATTCAGAAATATGGTATCGTAATATTTATTCAAGTCAATTAGGATATTATTGTAATACAATACAACAGTTTTTTAACTAAACCATTCGAAAAGTGATTACGATAACATCTTTTGAACGAAACAAAGCGAAAGTCATTGTTTTCATCACAATTTTATCCCACTTTCCACTGTAATACGTATGTCATTTCAGCAAAAAATATTACATTTCCGTGAAGGTATTATATCAACCACAGTATGAATAGAATATCACTAATATAACAGTATTTTAACCGAAAACTATTAAAAATACGAGTAACATCTCTTGAACATCGGAAGGTTAGGTAAAGTCTTTTGTTTTCTGCATGTAGTTTATCCTAATTTACATTGAAATACATCACGTTTCAGCAAAACTACTATTTATTTCTGAGAATATGGAAATGTAATATTTTTGCTGAAATGACGTATGTATTACAGTGGAAAGTGGGATAAAATCGCGACAAAAACAATGACTCGCTTTCTTTCGTTCAAAAGATGTTACCGTAATCGCTTTTCGAATGGTTTTCAGTTAAAAAATGTTATATTACAATAATATTCTATCCTAATTCACTTGTGATGTAAAAGTTTTTTAACTGAAAACGATTCGAAAAACACGTGTACCGTCTAGCTGATACGGCAGAGCCCTGGTCGCGGAGGCTTTGTGTTTGCATCGGCCCTTCTTAAGCAGCTTTTAATTTTAGCGTACGTTGAAATTGTGTTTACCGGTGTATTCTTATTTTCTTGCTTCTTATTTTCCAGAAATATGACAAGTTTTTATATAATACAATGTTACGGTACTTTTAATTTACAAGTATTCATTTTTAAAAATACAGAAGACACCAAACAAATACTAGTACGGATATTTGCGTGACTCTCCCGCCAAAAAAGACCAAACAGCTGGTACTCTCTCCCTCAGCCCTACCAAAAATAGCCCAACATCTTTCTTGTTTATTCTCTTCCAATTTCTCACTTTAACTGGTATTTTTTACTTCATATTGCCTACATCAGATAAACTACAGTAATTGAGGTTAGATATTGTTATAAATTTGATTACCGGGTCCTGGCAGGTACCGTTAGAACCACCTGACCCTACCAACAGTGTTGCAAGTCAGACAGCATTTTTTTTTTTTTACATTTTTGGTGTCTCCATTTGTTAATTTTTTTTCTGTGGGGTTTGCACAATAGTATACTGTTTTACCTACAGTATTGTAAAACGATTTGGGAAAAGAAATACTCGGTAACTTAAAATTTTAAAAGGAAAATTTTGAAACTGGCAACTGTGTGTAGATGACCTGACTCACATCATATTGATGTTTCAAATTTAATTAACAAAAATTTATGTATCTATAAATAAACTTTTAAAAATTAATACTTTATGTTTTACATACTCCTGTGAATACCATACCATGCATTTGGCTACTTTGGGCTTGCTATGATGACGCAAGAGATCTGCCCTGGCAACTGTACCGACACTCACAGCGGGTGGTGCGTTGGTGCGTCGTTTCCATCGTTTACTGGTAGTTACTGGTAAATATTTTTCAACCTAACGAAACTATTACCCGTATAGAGGTCGACCCCCAACTTTTTGCCCAAAAATTTGGTCTTAAGAACTCGTGCTATACACGGGTATATACGGTAACTGGAAATCAAATTTTAATTGGTTAAATTGAGCCACAACCATAAAATCCTTAGAGTGGTCTCCTAGGAGATGCATATCATTCTGAGTGGAAGTAACAGGTAAGCTGATCTCAATTTGTTCCATTTTTCACTAAAGGGACAGGGTTGTGACGGCAAAGCCAACTTGGTTATTTATGAAATAGCTCCAGTCAACATTCAGGGGATCCCAAGAACCTTAAGTGTTCAACCAGTAGATCTGTCTGACTTTACCTGAGTCACCTGTGCCAGACATAGGGTTATATTATACACCCTTGTAGACAGATGACAACTCTAACTAACTCCCACCTTGACCCAGAGCCATTTTCCAATCCCCTGCTGATAATTACGTACTGTACAGTAATTAATGTTCCTTTGTAAAACTTTATCGCAATTTGAAGTACCTACCCACACACACCATGCACTTCTAATACATTACATTCCATGCTTTCCCTGAGTCAATTATCATCATCTACTCTCTACAGAATGGACAATTTAGAATTTTCCTTAAATTAATCATTCATCCTGTCAATGTTAGCTATTGTTAACAGAAAGATTTCTTCTCCCTCATCATTACTCTGTGAATCTTTATCAACATAAAAATACAGTATAACAAAGGTCACTATATTATTCGAGAAACAGACAACAACATCTGAGAGTGATACTCACAGCCCATGGCAGATCCAGCGTCCCAAGAACACTATGTAACATGGTAGGGCGGTGACGTGCTGGATGACCACTGTGATAGGCCTGGGATTTATTACACGTATTTGCAAAATCATCACCGTCAAAGTCAGAGTCGTTAGATATGGGCTGAGGGTCATCCATGTGTGCTAGGAGGACAAGGATGGGTGGTGATAGTTCTGAAGGGATCGTCCTCATCATTGCTTCTAGCTCCAGCACATCAATTGTGTGAGAATTTGTGCAGCAGACATTTTGTTTTTTGTTATACAAGCTCTTGTTACTGCTATTGTCACAGTGACATGTGGCATCCATGTAACATATTAAACCATCAACGCGTGGGATTACCTGAAAAAACATTAGCGTAAGACAAGAGTACCAGAGCAATAATTAATAATATTTGTGAAATATACAAACAAAAACTACTTAATATTTAAGTGAGGTGAACAGGTCAAATGGACAAATAGGGCAGTTGAATGTATGTTGGCTTCCTAAAAACTAACTCCCACTTTTGATAGGCCACTTTTTTATCTTTTTACAATGACAATTAGTATAATCCAACAAGTGAAGTTACACATCTTCCAAGTTCATCCAGTCATTAAGTGCTACTTTTTATTGAGTCGGATATCTTTCTGTACACCTGGATGGATTTATATGCTTGGAATATGGACATCTTTCTATACATCCCTTTATAGTAATTACTCATAAATAATGAGGTTGATATATTTCTTTTGACAAGTGATCACAATTCTTTTATTTCTAAGTAACTCATTTTCAATCTCTGAAGGAAAGTGCCTTGGTCTAATGCAGCTAAAACCTTTTTCTGCATTCTAGCAAGCAGGAATTACAAACCTGCCTTGTCAACTCCTTCCACCCTGTGAGTTGGTGTAGGGAAGTATATCCAATAAAATTTTCTTCAACATGCCTGATAGCATCTGGAGCTGTGTCCATCCTCTAGTCTCTGCTGCATTTTATGGGCTGGTGCCCTGTTTGTGGTGGTGAGAAGCAGAAATATCCTATTCTGGTTTTACCTAATAGTTGCCAATAAGTAATCACGGCTAACCCATGCAAGCATGGAAAAATGATGATGATAGTCCAGCAAAATGTAGCAATTACCATACAAATGTCCAGCTGTCAATCCATCCTCAAAATTTCTGTATACTGTACAGTACATCTAGAACTTAGTATATTACAATGAGGAAGCTAATGAGTCCTAATTTTAGAACTGTACAAATATAACTTATTAACAGAAAGGAAATAATGATTAACTCATATTTTATCCTCTTCACCATTGATTGGCTCGTTAGCCACTTGGGCAAGAGGTCATGTCTCTGTTACACATTGTTGGCAAGTACTGGGTAAGCACTGGCTCCTGAATGTATCTAAACCTGCTCCAATGTTGGTCAAGTCTAGTCTTGAAGGCGCTCGCACTCGGTGCCATCGCGACACTCTCTGGCAGACTGTTCCATGAGTCACGACTCACTCCGAAAAAGTTTGCCCTCACAGTTTTCTGGACTTGCAGCTTCTTCAACCTTGAGCTGTGACCACTTGTGGGGCGAGCGTCCGCCAGCTCCAGGCATGGACACACAACTGAGTAGTGCCCTTTGAGATGTTTATACACCTCAAATAGGTCCCCCCTTGCCCATCTGTAGTACTGTATAAACTAGACAACTACAGGCTCTCTAATCTCTCTGGGTAGCTGAGGTGCCGAAGTGCAGGCACCAATTCTCAACGACAGTCCCTAGCATATCTCGGGGACTATGCGGGGAAGCACCTCACTCCTGAAGATCATTACGAGGGACGGACCGTCTAGATATCTGAACAACCTTCTTATCAGGCCTAATAATTTTGTTGCTTGATTCATCTTCTCACAAATGGTCCGAGAACTTCGGTTCATTGTCAACATACATATCCAGGTCCTTTTCACATTCAGTCTCAAGTAATGCAGTTTCCTCACCCCGTTGGGACATATGAGACACCTCCTTACCATTGGTACATCCCAAGTGCATCCTCTTAGACTTCGTGATATTGAATTTTAGCAGCCATTTCTTTGACCATTCTTGAAGCTCACAGAGACCTTTCTGCAGCTCTTCACAGTCTGCTTGGTTCTTAATTTCCCTAAATAACTTGGCACCATCCGCAAACATTTGTCTGGTGGAGTGTATAGCTTCTGGCATGTCATTTATGAAGGAAACAAACAACAGCAGGCAAAATACACTGCCCTATGGTACCCCGCTTGTCACGGGTACACATGACGATTTCGTGCCATTCATCACCACACACTTCTTGTGATCATACAGAAAGTCTGATCCACACTAGGACACTTCCCTGAATCCAGTACCCTCCCAGTTTAATTTTCAGCCTTTCATGGGATACACTGTCGAAAGCCTTGGCAAAATCTAGGTATACATTGTTGATGCTACCACCCTGTTCCAGGTTATATCTGAGAGGTAGAGTGCTCGATAGCAAATAAAAGGGGCATTAGTACTACAAAAGTCACGAGGGCAGCAAGCTGAAGACATTCAAAACAAAATAGGGATAAAAAATATTATTGAGGCTGCTGAAAATACATCAGGATTTGGTTTAGAGAATGAGTTTAAGGACTTAACTTTCTAGCAAAGAATTTCGTGTCTGGCTCACCAACAAAACCTGTTTTGATACGGCAATAAGAACTAATGGTTTGGTGAAACATTCCAAGTTTGTAAACTACCTCAGCAACATCAGGATGAAATGTTGTACCATTGGGTCCATCCACCAAGAGTCGAGGCCGAGCTCGTCGAACTGTCAAGAGGTTCATCAAATGGTGTCCATACCTCACTGTAACACCACCCCCTGTAAATGATGAACAATTGATAAACACCATCTTTTTTTTGTAATCTCAAGTTCTCAGCATTTTTTCAATACCTTTCTCTTCAATTTTTTTTAGATTTGCTTCTCTCACATTAGTCACAACTGTTACAATAGCCTGTATTGTACAGTATAAAAAAATTATCTTATAAATATATTTAGACTTGAAAATATCAGATACACGTATCTATATAATAAATGACCCTTAAGCATAAAATCATATATATTTGGTTTCTTAATACTATACAGTTCATTTCACTAAATTCTCCCTACACTTTATCTTAAACACAGAACTTTTAGTACAGTACATAAGAAATTTATATATCAACTTTGTCTACATATACAACAAGAAAATAACCAGTGAGTTATGCTGTACTTACCAACCCCCCCTGGCTTGCCTTTAACCAGTCCAACAGTTTCAAAGGTGGAGTCCTTAGATGCTATGAAACTGAGAGCCAATTTCTTGGACACTTTTGTTTCAGGCATACCAAAAAGCAGAAAGGTTGGCGCACCTTCACCCTTTGAAAATGGCTGAAAGTATATGAAATAACAAGCTACAATGTTTTACATGAAGTATGCAAGTATATTCATTTATTTATTATTTTTATTCGACCTTTTGCATCAAGGGATACAGAAACCTCAAAGGGGTGAAAATGACAGGGAAAAGTAATGCAAGAAAAGTGCAAAGAGACGGTATTGGGGTGAAGACAACAAGTATAACCTGCTGATATCTCTTCCAGTACACCTGCATCAAACAAAACCAGCAATTAATACATTACACTTATGTTTCTGGTCACTCCAAACAAACAATATATTAACATGTATATCAAATTCACTACCCCCCATCCCCCGATTTATGTTTAGCAGCAGTGTTGTACGCGTCAAAAAAAAAAAGTGGCGCCGCCAGTGTCAGCGGCCGAGAAGTTGATGCCGTTAGCGTCAGCGTAAACGATTTCATAAATTTATGCCGTTAGCGTCAACGAGTTTTCAGTGACGTACAAATGCAGCCCCGAAACGCATCTTCTCCTGTGTATGGGAGTAACATATGCAAAATAAAAAAATATTCATTCATTTTTAATCATTTACTATGATTTATATTTTATTTTAATTATTCATTTGTTCCCCCGCAAGAATATTAGCATCTCAATATGCTTGTCGCTCATTCTGCTGCGCTTGGGCCTCAAGACGTCCTTGCCCATGGAGAAAATGCACTCCACAGCAGCACTAGAGGGGATGGGGGTGTTGTATTTGATGAACAGCTCCCTCTTTTTTTTTTATCCTCTTCACCACTGATCGGCTCTTTAGCCGCTTGGGCAATCGGTCATGTCTCTGATTACTTTTCCTTTTCTTTTATTCTCTTTACCAAAAGATTGGCTCGTTAGCCGCTTGGGCGATCGGTCACGTCTTTGTTACACACTGTTAGCAAGTACTGGGCATGCACCGGCTCCTGAATGTACCTGAACCCGCTCCAGTGTTGGTCAAGTCTTGTCTTGAAACAGCTCACACTCGGTGCCGTCACAAAACTTTCTGGTAGATTGTTCCAAGAGTTCACAACTCTCACTCTGAAAAAGTTTGCCTTCACAGTTTTCTGGAGTTGCGGCTTCTTCAATCTTGAGCTGTGACATGGCCTTGTTGGGGAAGGTGTCCTTGTCGAAAGTTTTTTTTATGGTTTCTCCCCCAATTAACGCTTGAAAAGGTCAGTCTTTTTCATTCCTGCGGGGTGTCTCGTACAAGGCCTGGAACAATTCATCCTCCACATCATGGTCTTTGCCGTCTTCCTCACTGCTGCTCTCAGTCTCGTGCATGGACTTTTCCAACCAACCTGGACAGCTGGTTGGTGGCCTTTTTCCTGACTTGAAAATTCAAATCTGTAGAAAGCTGCGCAGGTGCACGGGCGTGACAATTTTTCCTGGTCGTCTTTATAACAAGATAATTGAAAATCGAACTTGGAAAAAAAAAAATTATTAGTTGAACAAATTAACGCTTGACGCTCCGCTCTGGTGAAAATTTGACTGCGTCTCCTATAGCGTCACCTGCCCAAAAAATTTATGGCGTCAGCGTTAACAAAGAGTTGCCGTCGTCCATTGACGGCGTTAAATTAACGGCGTCAACGTACAACACTGCTTAGCAGGTAGCAACGTTGCCACACAAAGTTATGTCTGGTGTGTAGTTTGAATTATTTTAGTGCTCATTGCAGCAAAAATAACATTTGTGTATATCTAATAGGTATGACAGAGAATATGGTTCCCTAATTTGGTAACATTTTATTAAAACAACATAAATAGAACCAATATAAATTGGTGACTTGCTGTATATATCTGCACAATATTAAGTAATCCATCTGCACTGTTTGTCCAAGAAACATTTTATGAATACAGTACAGTACTGTAGTGACTAGTCTCACCACCGAGTTTAAGTTTGTTTGCACCACTGTAAGTAGAACTGTATTCCATTGTTACTGTTCTGGTACTTTTGCTAGGACATCATTCCTGGAGACTCCCCAAACCATTCTTATAATATTCCTAACATGAAGGTACCAGGTATAACTGTTTATGGCAGGGAGGGAATTATGTAATACAGTATCTACTAATATCTTAAAAAAATATTAAATTCCAAACATCTGTGGTTCTGATCATTTCTGGTAAGAGAGATCCTACCACACACACACACACACTTAGGTATCAAACTTAATACAACTTACATCAGACAGAGAATTTTGTGGACTCCCACTACTAAATATACTAAGCATATTTTCGAACAACTCTGATAAACCCATCGAGGCAGTAGGTGTGGCCATCTTGGAGAGAAGGTTACCAAAATCTAGGTCCTCGTGGTTTTCATCATTACAGGAATCTGGATTTAGTATTTCATAACTGAAAGAAAATTATATTTGTGAAATGTTAACATCTTGTTAATGAAGCAGTCAAGAATAATAAATATCTATTTTCTTTTATAAAGCTGTAAAGTACTGTAATTGTATTTATGAATGTACAGTTATACACACATTATATATACTGTACTGTATATAAATTTTACAGTACTATATAATCTTACCCATTTCTACACCATATGTTAAATGACTTCGAATAAAGACCCAATGTTGGGAGATAACATTAGTACAGTACAGTACTGTACTGTATGTACAACTTAAGGCTACAATTTCATGGACTTTTGTTTTCACACTACATGAACACATAAATCTGGTCAACTTACAGAAGCTTGTTATTGACGAGCAGTGGGTCTCGTACCAGCATGCCAGCCATAGGATTGGGTTCAAAGTTAGGTCCAAATAAACCCAAATTTATCACCTAGGAAAGAAAGCCTTTAGTAGTAAGTAACTATATGATAATTTCCTCACATCAGCTTGTTACACTATAAACCCTAAACCTTTGAATTATACAGTAAACACCTACTTCAGAGACAGAAAATGGCTATGATTAAATCCTATCTAGCAATATTTTACTCCTCCATCACTTTAGTGGATCAAGGGCTACAGAAACCAAAGAGAATGGGGGAACTAGCAGAAGAGAATGGAGTAAGACAACTAAAGAAAGTGAAATAAAGGTCAACCACTTGAACACATGGCCTTGCCACGGCCAGGGACAAAGAATATTTTCAGGCTGGTCTCAACACGAGTGCCACCCCTGGAGCACAGGTTATCTGAGGTTGAGTAATGAATCTCTCATCTCTCTGGCTTATTTAGATTTATAGTTGAAGCAGTTCTATAAATAAAATACGTTTTTTTCTCTCACACTCTTACAGGCATACACCATCACAGCAGCCTCACACCACTCATGATTCATTCACCAGTATAGAATTAACAAGTTTGATCATTTATAATATTGTCCTTTCACTCACACTTACAAAATCCTTGGTAACTGACCACCTCGTATTAGTACTGTATGTTATAAGAATCAGTCTGGTGGTTACAAATCCTTCTAAGAGTAACTTTATTAAAATATTAGGATTCTGATATCCATTTTCTACCATCATAGGTTGTTATCCTTGTACTTCCCACAAGGAAGTAAAGTAACACTCACTCCACAGTAACTCCACAGTAACATGAAGAAATGTACAGTGACAACAAGCTGCTAGTAATACACAAGCCATAAGCACTTTCTCCAATCCTTCCAATAGTTTACCCTAACATTACAAACTGTTTATATAAACAATATTGTCTCACTGTAAAATTCATTGTAAGAAGACAAGTACACTTGATTCAAAAAAGTATATTTACAGAGGGGTCCGATAAATTTCAAAATAAACACTGTGACTCTTGTTGTCAAAATCCTTTGTCCATTGTGTCATATTGTATCACAAAATTTTAAAGATAATTTTGGGAGCAAGTGTATATAGTTATAGGAACATATATGTCAGGGGAATGTGATAATTAAGGTGACAAGTTTTTTTAAAGTAGCAATTATGATTATATATATATATATATAT